GCCAAGCCAAACCCCCAATCCCCTTGATTCCAATTTCCAGTCATCCACTAAATACTTTCCTAATTTAGAGCATTATAATTTGAAAGTTCATTTTAATCAAAATTCAAAAGAATTTGAATTTCAAAAACTTTTCAAATTAAAATAAACCTATTTTGGAAGTTCCCCTAATCACTACAATATGAAATTAATTTGGATTTAATTCCAAATTCCACATTCAATGCATGTGTCCACATACATTGTATGTGGACCTCCTCCCTCCTTTGCCCCCTCCCTATCTCTCTCTCTTAATTAATTCCTCCCCATTATTGCTCTCAATCAAATCCCCTCCCATTAAAGTGTGCCGCCCCAACCTACCCCAATTAGAAGAGATTCAAAATTTAAATTATTCACTCCTTCCCAAAAATAAAATCTGAAATTAAATTTCAAATTTTGAAATGGTTTCCCTCCCCCAACCTAAACCTAAAATCTGAAATTAAAAGTGGCCCCTCTCCTATCCTTGACCGACCACCCTAGCTCCCCCTCTTCCTTTACTTTTCTTCTCCCTTATGTGAATCATAATCTAAGAGAGAGGACGCATGACTTCTCCAGCCTCCTTACCCATGTATGGCCGATCCCGAGCAAGATCACGGATTCGTCTACGATAATCAAGGACTAGTGGATGTTCTTCATTCCCCCTTCTTCAACATCAATTGGTAGATTGACCGGATCTTCTTCTCATTGACTACCGCTCTCGACGAACATCGGCATTCAGTCCAGTGGCAAATTCTACATTCATCCACCGACCTCCTCTTTCCCGGTTAACTCTTGCTTGAGTAAAATTATAAGCGCCTTCTTTATATTGGTAGCATCGTTATTGCTGTGAAAATTATTCTTCTGCTAAAGCCCTTAAGAGTGTGAGTGAGGGAAACTCAAGGTGAAGGCTCTAATTGTTAACCGGTGGATTTTGTTACTTGCGTATCTGGCTTTACTTTCATTTTGATATTATTTTAATTGTCCTTCTAATATATTTTGTAACCGCATTCCAAAGCAAAATGACAACTAAGAAATCCTAGAATCTAATATTGTGAAACATTAATTTAACAATTGGCAAGCTTAACAAATTTTATTAAATTCCTGCAATTCCTTTTTGTTTCACATCACTTTTTCTCCATTGTATCATGTTAAGAGTCAAATTCTCATTTAAATCTAATAAGGAAATGTCATTTCTAATATTTTCTAACCAATTTCTAGGTCTACCTATAACTTTCTTAACATAGGTCAAATCTAATACATCTACTCTCTATTTATAAAGAAGATTTGACATGTGATGAAAAAAACCTATAAAGTGATTTAAGTACAACCAAAATATTAAATAAAGGATTGTTTCTAGTTTGACAGGTAATTTATGAAAGGATCATCTAAATAAAGGAAAATTTGATTGAATCTTTATTACAAAAACCAATATGCCAAATCTAAATAAGACATGCGAAGACATGTCAAATGATTGTATCCTACATCAATCAAACAAACCAGATGTTTAAAAAATAAATAAATAAATAAATAAATTTAAAAAAAAAACAGATGTTTGGGCAGTGAGTAATACCCACTAATTTGAACAAAGAAAAAGAACAAGAAGCTTGGAAGAGGCTTATCCCCCATGTTCTTAGAACTATAATGGAATTGTTACCAATAAACAGAGAATGCTCATTATCTTTAACATTTTTTTAAAAAATCTTCATAAAACGAGCTTGCTTGAGCTTTGACTCTGTTGGGGTAACGTGGTTGATAACTTGAGCATATCGCAAAAAACGTATTTTGATTCAAGGTAATGAAAAAATCAAAATTTCATGCAGAAAAGTTTTTTTTTTTTACTTTTTTTCTTTTCTGAATCAAATGCAGAGCAATTGTTACATCACCATAATAAATTGACTGCTACAAATGTCCACAAAACAGTAAAATACTTCATAGGTCTGAATACTTAAAACAAAGGGAATCTCAAATACTTAAAGTTAACAATCAATGGAAAGAAATCAGTAGCACCCAATATTAACAGATCCATAGATTTTAAAACACGAAAGGAACAAGCACCATGTTCCATGAAGATAAAAACCTTTGTACAATATTTTTATGATTTAGAGGTTTCATACCAGGTGGTGCACCAATACTATGAAGCAATTGTACGATAGACCTAGCATCTATGCGCTTTCGAGTTCTTTTTCCAACCAATACTTGCAAGTATGGGGTGTCAAACACCTGTAAGACCAAGTTATAAGCACTGCATTAGATTACACAACGAAGAATGCCATCATGAATATTTCTATGGAGAAGCTAAATAAAAAGAAATACTAATGGTCAACTTGTGACAGCCAGAGCTGTCAGTAAAGTCAATTATAAAATTATCGTTGGAAAAGTTGTTATTGCTAAAACAGTATTTATTATTTGAAAAATCTAATGGTTAGGCTGTTGTGTTGTTGTTGTATAAAGTAGAATTACCTTGATGACCTCTCACATATCATGCCACATATAAATTAATTATTACTTGTTAAACAAAACACAAGCAATTTTTTTTAAAAAAGAAGATAATTATCATTTGAAAAATGGAAGTAAAAAAAATTATAAATACAATAATTTTGCAATCGTTGTCAAAAATGAATTATGATTGCTACATGCATATTTTGTTCTTCACCCAACTACAATTCAAATTAGATTTTCCTTTTTTCTCAAATACACCTCTCTCTATGCAATTAATCTTCTTACTAGCTCTAATTTGAGTATATTTTCATCAATTTCAAATCCATCTCCCAATTCTATTTTTCACTCTCAATCCAATTAATCTCTCTCTAGCCCTAATCCTCTCCCGGTTTCTCCATCTTTACCCAAAATCTATCTCTACAGGTTGTCTACACATATTCAACAATTTTACCACATAAATCACCTCCTCTAATTCTCCCGTTATTTCAAATTGCAATTTTACTTCTTACCTAGACTAACACAGAGGAAGGAGAAGAACTGAAGAAGTAAATAATTTTTTTCATACAAGAATAGTGTCGGTGTTGACTTCTTCACCCCACTACCCTCTCCCCCTTCAATTATTTTATTTCAGCACCGGCATTTCTCTCGAAGGGATAGCATGGAGAGAGAGAGGAGTGGTCATCAAATTCTTTTGGAAATGTGGGAGCAGTGGTTGGATGAGCATCATGCGCGGAATTAAATTGGATTTTTTTTTTGTCATAAGAATTTTCCCAAACCACAGAACACAACAGATGCAAGAGAGAGTTAAAGGTTTTGAAACTCTATTTTAGGAAGCAAAAGTTTTCAAAACTCTAGTAAAATGTATAACCCCAAATGATTAAATAGTTGTGTTTCATAAATTAAGGCAGAAAAAAAGTTGCCTCAGACAGACCCTAAGTAAGATTTGCCATAGTTCAATAATATTGTGCCAGGTATATAACTGTTACAAACCACCAATATTTCATAGCCAACATAGAAAAGTTCCAAAACTACGGGTAGAATGTGGCATAGAAAGACATGTTGTGAACATCAACTTTAAGAATATGGATGTAAAACATTAGAAAAGTGGGCAATATTTGCCAAATTGAGCAAAACCCAAATGTCAGTCCAATGACTAATTTGGCTACATTAATGGCCACAATGTATTTTGCACAAGACAAGTTCCTTAAACGCCTAGGTGGTAGATGTAAACTAAAGAAATTCAAAACTTCAATATGTCGGGTATACCATATGAACCTCCAAATTCTGATTTTGGCAATACAACCAAAAATAATCAAATGAAGTGGTCATCCTTGTGGACCTCCCAATTATTGGAGTATATAGGCCTGTCACTTGTGTCAATGACTCAATGCAATAATGGATTAAGATAAAAAATGCATGTGTTACTACTTAGAACTTTAGAAACATGCCAATGTACAGAAAAGTAATTCTCAAACGCTACTCATTTGCATTATATCATATAATTAATCATTTTTTTCATAATGGAGCCCCGAGAAACTTGTTAATGAACCAAGGAGATGATGCTTGAAAGTAAAACATAAGAAAACAACTTCATGATTATGAATTTGTTGGAAAGTAGGAATTATTTTGGACAATAGATAGCTCTAATAAAACTATATGGATAGTCCATTGATTTTTAGATTTTTGCATGTAATTATTACATTCTCCAGTTTGCACATCCTCTAGCTTAGTTAAGCACTGTCAAATTCTTCTAGAGAGCATATAAAGCTGTTGAGACTTTCTAATCAAAAAATGTCAACACATCATTAAAAGAACAATAAATTATGAAAAGAACAAATTGAACCAACTTTCAAAAGCAACAATAAGACTTCAAATTGAATTCTTCTGTAGATATGTGACAAAAAAAAAATCAATATTTCTCTTGTTGTTTTAGATTTGTTTTTTGCTGATGATGGTATACTCCATCTTAATATAAATCTAAACGAGGAAATGTAAATCACTCTCAACTTCAATGTTATGACTTCATTATTGGGATCACTCAAGTTCTCCCATAACTACAAATAAACAACGGATATGAATTCACCCGCAATTCAAGAAATCGAGTGGGGGAGATACAGAAAAGGAAACATTAGTAGTGGGAAACTTAACTCATTCTTTTTCATTCATTCATAATGCCTACAAGTAGCGACTATTTTTAAAACTACAACAGCTACTAATTTATTACCACTAACTTCTAACTAATTAACTACTTTTATTAACCTAATACAATAACTAATCATCTCACATTATCCTATAATTATCTACCGATTCAAAATGACCTTGCCCTCAAGTTCAAGCAAGACATGGAAAGAATTGTCATAAGGAGCGACCATCAATGATGGCTATCAGGAACAAGGGGCACGTAGGTGGAATTGAGGTGTCTTGGAATTTTGAGTTTCTTTAGGCGGGACATGTGATAGAGGATCATGTCATATTGATGAGGACATCGACAGACGCTACCGACATGTTTATCGCCGGCGAAACCGCAGATCGACGGCCACGATTCAGCGTCTCTACTTTTGATTTAGATGACATGATGTATTTTTATTATTGTATTGTTGATTTACTGTTTTCCCATTTTACCCCTGTGGGGAGTTATATTTCTTTGTAGCCCAGAGGGCAATTCAATCTTTTTCACTTTTATGAGTCAAGACCTATATATAGTGGTCTCTTGTATCATTTTATTTATAATGAATTATTGAATGAAATTTGTGTTTTATTTCTACTTCGTCTTGCATGAGTGCTTGAGAAGGGGTATTTTATTACAACCTGGGGTAGTCAGAACGCATAACC